AGAGAGAGAGAGAGACACAGAGAAAGAGAGAGAGACAGAGACAGAGACAGAGAGAGAGACAGAGAGAGAGAGAGAGAGAGAGACAGAGAGAGACAGAGAGAGAGAGACAGAGACACAGAGAAAGAGAGAGAGACAGAGAGAGAGACAGAGAGAGAGAGAGTTAAGAGTTAAGAGTTAAAATAGGGCCAGGCAGTGGTGGCCACACCTTTAGTCCCAGCACTTGGGAGGCAAACCTCTGAGTTTGAGGCCAGCTTGGTCTACAGAGTGAGTTCCAGGACAACCACAGTTACATAGTGAGACCCTGTCTTGAAAAAACACCCCCCAAATAAAAATAGATACATATGTACCTTTAAAAAGATACATATCTTTTAAAATGGTAGCTGCAGGGAGCTAGAGGTGGCTCAGCATTTGTTGTCCTTACAGAGGACCAGGGTTCAGTTCCCAGCACCCACATGGTGGCACACAGCCATCCCTAATTCCAGTCCCAGGGGACCTGATGCCCTCTTCTGACTCCCACAGGCACCAGGCACTTGTGTGATAAACAGGCACATTTTCAAGCAAGATGTCTATATACATAAAATAGAAACAAATCTTTTTTTTTTTTTTTTGAAGGTCCATTTAAAATCTGCTGATTCCTAAGAGCGCCGACATGACGTCTGGTGGTTGTCCCTGAGAGGTCACTGGATGTTACCCACAGGGTGGGGTAACAATGGGCTTCACCGAGCCCGAGCAAGATTTGAACCTGGCTAGTCACGGCCGGCCGCAGGAAGAAGCTGGCTGCTGGCTCAGCCTGGTTCCGCCTACGGCAAACCCGCTTCTGAGCTGCTCAGACACGGAAACCCATGCCCGATAAAATCGATGAATTAGAGCAGATTCAGGCAAAGAGAGGACGTCTACGGCTTTAGGGAAGATGAATTTTTGATGGAGAGAGAGCGCCAGAGTCCTTAAAAGCCCGAGACCTGCTTACTATGCATTAATTCCCTAACCCCCCGCGGGCCCCTTTCCTATTTTTATCCGCCCGCTTCTTGATTCTGGGGAGATTGTGTGCCTGGGGTTTACTACCCGCTGAGTGAAAGAGAGCTGCCTTTCTTCCTTCATTTCAAGCTCTGAGGTGTGCCAGGGTTAGCACAACCCGTGGATTTATGGTCTCGGCTCCCAACCGGTCGGCTAGGTAGGACCAGGGCTGTGGCCGCGGGGCTCAGCATCTCAGCCGGCAGGTGAAAACCAGGCGCTGGTGCTCCCATGGTACTCAGTGCGTTGACTTGGTCCAGGAACTGCCTATTGTCGGGATCTGGTTTTTTCTCCCCTAAAGGGGGTCTGTACTGGCTTTGCAAGCCCTTTTCCTAGGTTAGAGGGTGCCAGCTAAAATTCACATTATTGAAAAGAAAAAGTGCAAGCAGTATGGCCGGCCTGAAAAAAGATCCTGTGAGCTCCTAACTGAGCCGAGTCCAGGGTGGACCATGGCTTTGCCCTCTGTCATCCTGCTCAGTCTAAGGGATGGAAGAGGGCTTGAAACTGCTTGCCATCTTTGGCCGAGGGACTCCACTGCAGAAATATACTAGAGGGAAAATAGTTAATGATCATAAATGTTCTAGAAGTAGGGACTGGCTGCACAACATTGCAAAGTACTAAAACACACTGAGTCACAAACTTTAAACGGTGAATTTTACAGAATATGTGAATTTGATCTCAGAAAAAAATCAGAAAGTACTATTTAAAATAGCAAAACCTGGAAAGAGCCCAAAATGTCTAGTTATAGAGTTTATACTGCATATTCTGTGATATAAATAGAACTGAACAAAAATATAGAGCTGTTAAAAATATATTATGCAGATTGTCAATATATGGAAATATAGATGGGGTTAACTAAGAGAAGATGAAGAGTATTATAGACCAATTACAGGTTGTCACACACTAAGCCAGCATTGGTCGGAATAGCCACATTAAGATCCTTCCTCTCCTGGTAAACTTGGAGAGCATCTCTATTTGTTAAGTACTCCCGTGGATGTTACCTAATTTAATGCAGGAAATCACCCAGAGAACACTACTCTGGCTTCTCAGCCCTATAAAAGTGGAGCTGAGGGTCACTTCTCTGGAAGCAAACCAGAACCCTGTCCCATTGATTCCTTGCTGTGGGAGGGCTGGGTTTCCCAGCAAAAAATAGATATTTTCACAAAACAAAGGAAAAAACTACTAAAAGTCAGCTGCAGTCGCTACCAATGTCTTCTGGGATCGCTAAAAATAATGACAGTGACAGCAGAGGAGAGACTGTGTGACTGCCGGCTGCGTCTTCTCCCTGTCACCCTCACTAGGGATGTGAAGTTCCAGCTACCACAGCTCAGCCTAAAAGACAGTACAGCAGATGGGCCGGAAGGGACACTGCTCTGCTGAGCAAGTGTCCAGTGCCTTATGTCACACGGTGGAAGGGAGGCAGGGCAGCTGGTGATACCTGGAAGGACCCTGGCTGTTTTGGTCCTTTGATGAGAGGCACAGGGCAGTCATTTAAAGCATACATCACACTCCTTTCCCTAGAGCCTGGATAGAGACACTGCTCAGCAGAGAGCCTCAAGGAGTGTGTCCTCAGCCCACTCCAAGGCTTCTGTGCAGAGGAAACAGTTGGTGGAGAGTACAAGGCAGGGAGGGGACCAACCCCTGAAGTCTAGACCTGGGCACTGAGAGGGTGAGGAACACAGGGTTAGAAGTTTGGGTTCTGATGACCCAGAGGCTGGGTTCAAACACCAGAACACAGACTACTGAACCTCTGTGGTTAAGAGCTGATTCCTCTGCTGGGTCCTTTGGAGTCACTGCTTCATTGCAGCAGGTGACCTGACCAAGGTCATATCCACAGCCCATGTGGCTGCATCAGGAGACCCCACTGAGGGTTCCAGGGCATATGTGACAGGGGCAGGGCCTCCTGTGGGCTGAACCCAGGTCAGACACTGCAGGGTTACTGCGGGCTTGAAGAATGGTTCCTTCCTCCCCGATCCAATGTGCCCCCAGCCTCTGCAGCAGCCTCTGCAGCAAGCTCCACAGAGCCAAAGGCTGCGGCAGACGCTGGGGAGGGGAGGGATGGAGCTGGGGAATGCTGCCACCCAGCTGCATAGGGATGGGAGAGAAAGAGCCATACGACCTTGCAGCTCAACAGTCCCTTTCCTGTGACTGCTGTAAAGCAGGGGAGGGGGGGATGACAGGGCCGGATAGCAGCCCCTCCTCTTCCAGAATGCAGAGAACAGTTTAGACTCTCCCAGCATCCACCCCTTGGTAGAAGGAACGCATGAGTCGGGGTGGGGGTGGGGGTGGACAACGACACTGGACAGGGAATGGCTTGTGACCTTGTGACCTTGGTCTTTCTGCTTAAAATTCAGACTGTAGGGCTCAGAATTCAGCCTTGGAAACATTCTCGGCCTACACAGAGGCCAACGGGGTGTCACTCATCGAGCCCACCACTGTCACACAGAGGTTGCCACTTGGCTGCCACTTGGCAGATCTGTAGTCCGTCAGGAAGGCGGGAGAGAAGGACCGTGCTTGGATCAACTGAACTTCGGTAGACACCTCCTTAGGACGCCAACAAGACTTGCTCTCCCCGCACTGGTGTGTACTCATTATATTACCAAAGTGGCTTGAGGCTTGGTGGCAGAATTTCCCATAATTGGCTGCTCTGGGCCTGTGTCTAGACCAGAAAGACCCAAACCCCAGCAGAGCAGCAGTCCGCTGGCCAGGTGCAACAAAAACAGAATCCAGAAGGAAGTGGTAGCTTGTGTCTGTAATACCAGCACTAGAAAGCCCAAGGCAGGAGAATTTCTGTGGGTTCAAGGCCAGCCTAAGCTATAGTATAAGATAGAGGTCTGCCTAGGCTAAATTGAGAGACACTGTCTCAAACAAAATACAACGAAATAAAACCAAATTGTTTAAAGGAAGCAAGCTCAGAGAGCGGGCCAGTCCCACACGACAGCTCTTATCTGTTACTAGGTGTAGGCCCTTGGAACAAAGGGATCCTGGCCGCCTGTCCTCTCACTGAGTGGGAGAGTATCACGCTGGAGGCTCAGGAGCGGCAGAATGTATCCCCTACCAGGCCCTGGGCACAGCCACCTGGGTAGCTCTCACTGTTGCAGGCTCAACTCGGCAAGACCACCTGGCAGGCATCCACCTGGCTTTCTGGTTTCCATTTCCTAACTTTGAAAGGCACCTTTGCTGCAGCCTGCCTGGCCCCTGTCTCCACAGAGACCCTGCAAAGAGTCCTTAGAGGGTGTGTAGTACGTGGAGGATATGGGCAGGAGAGGGGCAGAATGTCGAGGAGAGAGGACCGCAGCCAACTCCACACACGGTACTCTTCCACACGCCATGGCAAGCACAGAGATGAATGCCAGGCAGACGGAATGAGACCCTGCCTCCCAGCAGAAGGAGGCATAGACAGTGCTGCTGGTTGGCTGGGGAGTGGCTGCTGCACCTCCCACTGGATTCACATTCTCAGAACCAGCTCTGCAGCTCAGCTCTGCAGATGAAGGCAGCACAAGGTGCTGCACACACTCCTGCTTGGACATCAGACACCTGAAAGGGCTCTGGAGACTTCCTGAGACCCAGGTGAAGTAAGTCACCATAAAGGGCTGGTACCTGTTCTCTGCCTGTCAAGGCCTGGCTGGGAAGCCCTGTCTAGCCTCCTGACACTCACTCCTCACCTGCCTCCCACAGTCTGCCTGTGGCCTCCATACTGGAGTTTCTAACCCCCCATCCCTGCCTCTCAGAGGCCGAATCTCACCTCTCTGAGACCCTACCACCCAGCCCAGAGCTTCCAGCACTAACTTACACACACCAAGAGAGAGGAGACGAGCCAGAGTTGCCAGGGGGAAGCAGAAAGAACAGATGAGGAGACAGGAAGGACAGACCTCTACCCACTCTTTGGTTCAGGAGCTTGGAACTCTCTCCTTTAGCCAGGTCACTTTGGGGTCTGAGGGGGGTGGCTTCTGGGAATCCCTGCAGCTGCAGAAGGTAGGCATACAGTTGTGTGGGGTAGTGGCACTGTGCAGCGGTGCCAAGAGCGAGAGCTAGAACCACAGTGCTGGCCTAGACTCAGACTCCTTCACTCCAGCCAAGGACCTTGAACAGAGAGCACACTGCTTCCTTTGGAGAAGGCCAGCAACTGTCCCCACCTCATATGGCTTCTGGGGACATAGCAACAGTTAGCTTTTTGAATTATTATTATTATTATTATTATTATTATTATTATATGATTATTAGCAATGATGTAAGAACCAATGTTGTAAATATAGTGATCAAAAATTTTACTAACGGGGCTGGAGAGATTTTAATCACTGGGCTCAGTGGTTACAAACACTTATCAATCTTGCAGGGGATCTGCGTTCAGTTCCCAGCACCCACATGGTGACAACTCACAACTGTCTGTGACTCCAGTCCCAGGGGGTCCAGCAGGCTCTTCTGACCTCCATGGGCACCGGGCATGAGTATGGCGCACATGTGTGTTCAGAAAAATACTGATACACATAAGACAATGAAATTAATATATAAAAATAGTTTTAATTATAATAACAGGGCCAGAAAGATGTCTTGGTGAGTAAATGTGCTTGCCACCAAGCCTGATGGTCTCAGTTCAATATCTAGGACCCACATGGTAAAAAAGAAGCGACTCCAAAGATTGTCCTCTAACCCCCACAAGACCACATGGCACATATGTGCATGCATGCATGCGCGCGCGCGCACACACACACACACACACACACACACACACACACACACTTCTAAAAAATTTTGTGGTAACTCTGTAGAATGCCAGAGATCAAAGTAACTGTATCTGTCATCACCTATAAAACCTCCTCTTACCAGACCTCACTGAGGTCACCACACTAGACTCAGAGGCAAGTGTGACCCTGGACTGACACCATTCTTACAGGACGTTGTAAGATAGGTGCCCTCCTGGCACCCACAGTCAAGTGAGAGAAAGCAAGGCCAGCACAGGACAAGAGCAGCCCGGCAGAGAGCAATGAAGTCTGCGGCTTCCGGAGAGAGTGGCCAGCAAAGGCCTCCCACAGGAAGAGCAAGGGTGCTAGAGGTCACTTGAGAGGGAGGAGGGCATAGGAGAGGCTGCTAAGTCCCAGGAGGTGGCATCTCTCACGCAAGCACAAAACTTCACAGCTGCAATGACCCACACCACACTAGCATAAAACCCACATTAGCTGAGGGTGTGTTCTAGCACACACCTAGAGTCCCAGCATCAGGGCGGCAGAGGCTGGAGGATCAGAAGCTCAAGGTCATCCTGGCTATATAGCAGTTTTGAAGCCAGCCTGGGCTATGAGACCCTGTCTTAAACACATACACACATACACACACACATACACACACACACACACACACACACACACACACACACACACACCTGGAGTAACCTCCACCACTGACTTCAAGTGTCTGCAGCAGGTGCATGTCACTGGACCAAATGCCTCCGCTGGCATCAATGACAACTTGGGCTTTGCCACCAGGCACCCTGCAAGTTAGCCCAATAAATAGCGTAGCGCACAGCAGGAGTCCTGGAGGGAGTTACACACCAACAACAGAAACCATCCCTCCGAGCTGAGCTGGCCATGGTACAAAAGCCCAGCAGGCATTCTAGACTATAGGGCCTGGAGTGCCACCAAATACCAGGCAGGCAAGGCCGAGGAGGAGCCGGGGGGCCACACACCTGTCACTCACCTTCTGCATCCACGGTCTCCTTCATGATAATCTCCACCCGCTCCACGTGGTGCCTGCTCCAGAGGCCATCCAAGGCCTTGCGGTTCTGATCTCGGAAGGGCAGGATCTGAGCCACGGCCTGCCAGGGAGGAACACTGGTCATCCCAGGTTCTTGGGTGAAGGAAGAAGCCTGGCTCTCGAGCTCCAGACCTCGTCACTTAGGAGAAAGCCATTGTCTGTGGGCCTCAGCTCCTAGCCCTCAGATCTCACAGCTCAGTGGAGATGCTCAAAACTAAATGACCTAACAGTTTGCAGCCAAGAAAGAGCATGTTGCAAATTGACTGTCTTCCTGTGGCTATAGCCCAGTGGCAGAGTGCTTGCCTCACATGTGTGAGACCCTAGGTTCAAGCTGTAGTACCAAGAGGGGAAAAACTGAAGAGAGAGAGAGAGAGAGAGAGAGAGAGAGAGAGAGAGAGAGAAAGGAAGAAATGAACCCTATCTTTTAAGACTGACATGAAAAACTTGAAACTATACATTTAATATTAATTCCTTCTCATTTCCAGGCCAACAAACCCTTTTCAAGACTGGTCTGGGGACCACAATTTGAGGCTGTTGCCATGACAGATACAAAGGGTTGGATGGCTGGATGGAAAGTGAAGCACCTGTCTGTGTAGTTGGCTCCCTACCCAGGGTGTGGCCCAGCCCAGCAGTCTGGGTACCAAAGAGCACACAGGCCCAGTGCACTCTATGGAGGGAATGCTAGCACTACATGAGCCCAGAGTTCTGAGGCCTCTGCAGAGTGGACTGGCCTTGACCTGTGCCTTCCAGGAGACTGTTCCAAGCTCCTGTTTCCAGGCTTCAGTGAAACGCTTGGGTCTGGGGGGAGGGGGGGGTCCACTTCCCTTCCTTGATTCTAAGTTGTTATCAGCTTCTTGCCTCAAGACAGAATTCAAGACAAAAAAGATTTTTATTTTAAAAAGGCAGATGGGTGAGGGATTAGAGTTCCCATAGCATTTCCAAATGAACGCCAGATCCAGCCATCATAGTCCCTGGACCATGCCTGGGGAGTAGGTCAACAAGGGGCAGTCAGAAAGCACACCCTCTCTCAGAAGCCAAGACAAGGAGCCAGCTATTCACTGGCTTCCCTGCTTCTGCATCTCCAGTCTTCTCTCAGGAAGACCATGGGTGCTGAGGGTCCCAACACTCTCCAGCCCAATTCTATATTGGGTAGGAAGTCCCTGGTGATAGAGCCATGGTACCCCACACAGCATGGCCACGCCAGGCTCCAAGCCGCTGCTCACCTGCTTGCCCAGGTAATGGTCTACCCGATACATCTCCTCTTCCTGGAAAAAGCTTCCAAGTTCTGAAGCCAGCTGCTGGGCTGAGAGGTGGTCATGGCCAAAGGGTTTTTCCAGAACAACGCGCAGCCAGGCACCTGGGTGTGGTCTGCAGCTGCTGTTGATGTTGCGGGCAATGTCTGCATAGGCAAAGGGTGGCACTGAGAAGTAGAAGATCCTGCCAGCTTCCCAGAGCCCATCCTGCTGGACCTGCGTCTCAATGTCCTTGTTCAGAGTCTGATAGTCCTCGGCTGTCTTCAGTTGGCGGTACTGACTCAGCTGTAGAAACTGACCCTTGAGTTCATCACAGTGACTGAGTGCCAAGTCCTTGGGGCAGGAGAGGGATTCCAGGGCCTTGTCCATGAGCTTCTGGCCCTGCTGGGGGGCTGTCAGGGCAGCCCCGTGGAAGCTAAAACTGTGGCCCTTCCCAGCCTCATCCAGGTACAGCTGAAACAGTCCTTGCCACAGGTACTTCTTAGCTAGGTCCCCAGTTGCTCCCAGCAGGATGATGGAAACATGTCCCTTGAACTCCTGGGCCTGCAGGCAGCCCAGGAGGGCCAAGCACATTGCCACTGTGAGCATTCTCCAAATGTTCTGGTGCCTGGGAAGAGCAGACAAGGAACAAGGAAGCATCAGACATGGCCCAGGAGGTTATGATTCGGGAGTAAACACAGCTAGGACATCAAATATTTCCTGCCTGGCGAGAAACAGCCACATGTTTCTGGGAGAAATGTTATAGTCACTCAGCATTCCCCTCCCTCCTGAGCAGCCTGGCCTCTGTGCCAGGGAGTCAGTGTATAGGGAGCTTGCTCTGTAAGAAGGAATTGTGCCCGGGGAAACTCCAAGGCCATTTGACTGATTCAGGGCAGTCTGCTGCTAGGAGCACCAGAGAGTGGCACAAATCGCCAGGGAGGCCCACAGTGCTGAGAGAAGAGTTGGCCATGTCACAACCACCACTAGCCTCAGCCATGAGCACAGGCTGGTTGGGCAGCAGGGAAACCCCAGCCCAGGTACCAATGGCTGGAAGTGGGAGAGAACATGATCGCCTGCTCACCCATTGCTCAGCTTTCCCCATGTCTGCTGGGCTCCACCCACAAAACGACAATGAAGAGAGGCCTTGGGGCCAGCAAGATGGCTGAGTAAGGAAGCACACCTGCCCCAACCCGACAATCTGCGTGCAACCCCTGGGACCCACATGCTGGATCCAAGGAGAGAATCAAGACCTGCAAGCTGACCTCTGACCTCCTCTGTATATGTACACACATACAGACACAGATAAATGTAATAGAGAAAGCGTAGACTTTGGGGTGGAGTGTGTGTGGCTCAGCAGCAAACTGTCCAGTATAACAAGGAAACTGGGTCCCATTCCCAACACAGTAAATAAAAAAAAAAAAAGGAATGTGGTGGTGTTTCACACCTTTAATCCCAGCACTCAGAAGGCAGAGGCAGGCGGATCTCTGAGTTCAAGACCAGCCTGGTCTACAGAGAAAATTGCAGAACAGTCAGGATTACACCGAGAAAACCTGTCTGAAAAACAAAGAAACAAACAAACCCAACAATAAAACCAAAACCTACACAAACAAACAAACAAAAGATCATGCAGCCTCGTGCCTAAGTGTAAACCCAGCTCTATTCCTTAATAACCCAACAACTAACCAGACAACACCCCAGTTTCCTCTGGAATGGGTGCCATAGTGGTGCCTCTATCACGGGCTTGTTGCAAGAATAAAATAACTCCACATTTATACAATTCTCAGGGCAGTACCTGCTGCCTTTTAGCCTCTGTTTACAGGACAGCCGATGGTATAAAAATGTGCCAATCACAAAACCACATGCTCTCAGTCTGATCTTACCGGACCCAGCCCAGAGCCCTGAAGACCCACACAGGACAGTTTGCCTGCAGTCCCCTTTGCACATGGAAAGGCTGGGATACTGTGGAATGAAGCATCTTAGTGGCAGAGCGGCAAGCTGGGTCCCCACAATTGCTTTGCTGGCTTCCATGGGCAAACATGCCTTCCAGGCTGGTTTTTCCAGCCTCACTTGTGGCAGCTGGCATATCTGAGAGACAGGAGGCCTAGGTTGAGTCACAAGAGCGTCTGAGGGTTTACCGGGCTGGTCTCCTGTTCTGGCCCAGTGCTGTGTCCGCTGAAGCTGGGCTTTGGGAAAGGGCAGAAGGAACTGAAGAGGGCAGGAACTATGGCTATGGAAGGAGAGGTGGAAAGGTGGAAAGGCAACTACAGAAACTGACTGAATACCGTTCGTCAACCGGACAGCAGGAACAGAATAAATACGACCACACAGATGGGAAACTGGGGTTTACAGAGATCGTGGAACACACAAACGGCTCCACAGGGTTGACCAGTCTGCAAGCACTATTCAGCTGGGATTAAATTTGCCTCTGTTTGTTTGACTGTTGTTGTTGTTGTATGAAACAGGGTCTTAATCTGTAGCCCAGGCTGACCTCCACTCATGGCAATCCTCCTGCCTCAGCCTGCGAAGTGACGGGATAGCATATGTGAGCCATGAGCCTGCTTCTGCCTGCTCCTAGCCTTCCTTCTTCATCTCTCTGGGGACTCACCTCCAAGATGGCTCTAGTGACACCCAGGTGAGACAACAATAGTGTCTGTGCCAGCATCCATAGGACACATCACACCTCCAGCCATTCAAAGGACCTGAGAGGCCCCAGCTTCCTCTCCTGTTCCCCGTGTATCTCTACTCATTCTCAAATACACAGGCGGACTACAGGGCATTGCATTTTCCTCTGCTTCCCAACTCCTGTCCTTGGCACCTGAGCCTTTCTTTCTCAACTGGCAGCAGCTCTGCCCCAGGGGAAGAAAAAGCTGCAAGGTCAGTGCAGGAGAAATCTGAAGCCCAGAGAACAGCCTGGAGAAGGAGGAGGCGCCAGCTGGCAAAGCCGCATCCCAACTCCTGATCCGGCCCTGGGAGCCAGGGCTCGGGATGTGCTGGTACAGAGAGAGGCTGGGGAGTCTCGCAGGGGCTGTCGGGTGGGGGAGCCCAAGGCCACCTCTCTGAGGACAACGGGGATGTGGATGCGTGGCACCTGACCCACACTGCCTTCTGGCCGTCTACCACACCATTTTTTTTTTCCCTGTCAGTGTGAGTGTTCTGGACCTAGTGCCCAAGTAAACCAGTCTTCTCTCTTGCATTCCCAGACCTCCTGAAGCAAGCAACGCTGGGTATTTCAACAGACTTGTTTACAGTGTGATTACTTAAATACCCACACGACTACGCTTTCTGAAATCAGCATGGGGGGTATCCGTGCTACTTGATTTTTTTTTAAACTTTCTTTTTTATTTATTCTTTGTGTCTTCCACATCATGCCTCTCAATCCCACCCCCTTGCTCCCCAGAATAAAACAAAACTTAAGAGAAAAAAAAGGGGGGAGAAAGGGAAAAATCTCATCATGGAAGCTGCAGTGTGACACAGCGCGTCACACAGTAAACCCCTTTAACCAAACATTTTTACATGCAGACATTCATCGCAAAGATCACTGGTCTGGTTCTAGGCCCCTGGTCTCTACTACTCCATCAATGCTGGGCCCTCACTGGGACCCTCACTGGACATCCTGTTGCTGCCCTGTGTCATGGAGATTCTACAGCCCTGTGTCCACGGGATCGACCCCACTCCCACCCCTCACCCCGTGCTCCAGCAAATCACAGATGGGGTGGATGTTGGGTTCTGGGCCTGGGTAGTTGCAGGGTTGGTCAGCCTGCCAGCTGTCCCATCTTCACCACTAGGGTGCGCTCTCCAGCATTGCATGCTAGCTCACCCCCTGCAGCGATGAGCTATGGGCAGGCCCTTTCTCCTTTCTCTCACTTTGACATCTTAGGATCAGCTTTCCCACACCCACACCTGTAGGGCCAGCTCCGCTGTGTTGTTAGGCGAGGTTTCACGGTCACTCTCCTGAGGGCTGCAGCTGACGAAAGGCAGGGACAGCTCTCCTCTTCTTTTGACCCTAGGGCCAGCAGCCAGCTTTTCCACCTGCTTCAGGTGTGAATGGGTGTGTGGGGGGGATCTCTACCCTCCCCACCACATGACAGATGAGGCAAAAGTTCAAGGCCGGCTTGGGCTACAAATGGAGTTTGAGGTCAGTCTGGACAACTCAGAGATTAAGAGTGAGAACAGGTCTGAAGATTCTAATCAGTGGTAGGTAGGGCATTTGTCTATCATGAGTGAGGCCTGCGTCCAGGCTCTAGCACATAACAAACAAAACAACAACAAAAACATGATAGATTTTGTTGGCCTGAAAGACCAACAAAAGGGCTGTAAGCATTAAGAGAGATGTGACCCAAAGCAAAGCCAAACAAAATAAAAGCATGCACAACCATGCCTGTCATCCCGGCAGTCAGAAGGCTAAGGCCGACAACAACAGACTCTCTCTCTCTCTCTCTCTCTCTCTCTCTCTCTCTCTCTCGCTCTCCTGCTCACCCCGCCCCCCCTGCCCAGGTAGATGAGATGGCTCAGTGGGTAAAGGCATTTGCTACCAAGAAGCATGATGACCCAATTGCAATCCCTGGAACCAGCATGGTAGAAGGAGAAATCTGACTCCATGAAATTGTTCTCGGAGTCCTGTATGCACGCCATGGCAAGTAAAAGGCTATGCATCCATGTAACACACACTCAATTAAGAGTAATTAAAAACATTAAAAAATGGATACTAGACAAATGTTAACTAATTAGACTACTTAAATAGGCCAGGTATGGAGGTGAAACGAGGGAGGTCAGAAATTCAAAGCCAGCTTGCAATATAAGTAGTTGGAGACCCTGTCTCAGGAAAAAGGAAGGAAGGAAGGAAGGAGGAAAAGGGTTAATTAAATGTAAGCGATTCCCTGCTCTAAAGTGCACAGCATCACTGCTGTGACAGGAACTGGATCACTCCCCTCACCTCTGGGCTGCAGAGCCAACCCTGCTAAGAGCCCTGGGGAGCAAAATCTGTTACTTATCTGACTGCCAACTCCCAGGATGAGGACAGCGAGACCTGGGCTTGGCTCTCTCCCCTGAGGCTGCACCTTCCCGCTGCTGCAGAGGCTACCTCTGAGGGGTTTTGCACAAGCACTCCTCTCTCTGGGCTCTGCACTGAGAAGAAGGCGCTGTGAAGTAGACTTACCAGAGCCTCCCACACGATGGCAGAGGTCAGTCAAGAGGCCGGAAACCAAAAGCTCACTCGGGAATTTTCTTCTCCCTCGATTTCTTCTTTGCCTATCGAGTCAGGGAACCTTCACTAAACAGTCTGAGAAGCTGGAGGAGAGAAGGACAGAGACTCAGCACGGACACTGGAAAATGTCATTCTCAGCCACGTCTTGCCCTCATCCTAAACAACCACGCAACCCTGAAGAAGGCATTTAATCTGCTAAGGTCTCAGCTTCCTCGCCTGGGAAGTGAACTAAGCATGTCCAGGTATTTTTCTAGCCCTTGGTCCCATGCTTTTCCAGGGAGGTTCTATCTGTATAGGCAGGGAAGTGCTGGGGGAGACAGAGACCTGTAGGGGGGGTCACAGGGCCAAGAAATACAACGCCAAGTTTACAACCTGGTCTACAGAGTGAGTTTCAGAACAGCCAGGAATACACAGAGAAACCCTGTCTCGAAAAGCAAAACAAACAAAAACTAACAAAAAGAGTGTACAGGACACAATTTCATATATAACAAATTTTATTCAAGAAACAGCTGGGGGCTGGAGAGATGGCTCAGAGGTTAAGAGCACCAACTGCTATTCCAGAGGTCCTGAGTTCAATTCCCAGCAACCACATTGTGGCTCACAACCATCTGTTATGAGACCTGGTGCCCTCTTCTGGTGTGCAGATATACATGGAAGCAGAATGTTGTATGCATAATAAATAAATAAAATCTTAAAGAGAGAGAGAGAGAGAGAGAGAGAGAGAGAGAGAAACAGCTGGAACAGGACATGATAACTCAAGCCTATAACCTCAGTCCTTGGGATTCAGGAGGCTTGTGAGTCCAGGGTTAGCCTGGGCTTCATAGCAACCTCCTATCAAAAGAAAAACAGGAAAAAGAAGAGAGAGGGTAGGGGCTGGAGAGGTGGCTCAGCAGTTTAGAGCATTTGTTGCTCCGGCCGTTCCCAGCACCCTCATGGCAGCTCACAACCACCCTGAATTCCAGTTCTAGGGGAACCTACACCAAGCACAAACATAGTGCACGCACAGACATGCATGCAAATACTCTTACACACAAAACAAAATAAGTAAGAAGGAGGTGGAGTCAGCAAGCAGGAAGACAGGCCAGCCTCCTAAGGGTGACAGCACATAGCTCTGACAGGCTCATGTTAGAATTAGGGCTGAGTGTGCACACAGAGCCAATACCCTTGGCTCTCCAACTCTCCATTAGAGAGTGTCTCACCCATTAGACAAAGGCCCTGCTAACATTCTAGAAGGTGAAAGACTGGCTTACTCTCACAGGAAAGGGGAACATGGCCAGCCAGCCCACAGCTGTCCCTGCCCAGGCCAGCAGAGGAAGAAGCACGGGGCTGGTGCTGGCTAGCCACAGCAGTCACCAGAGAGAAAGTCAGGGGTCATTACCTACCCCCTACTCCCTTTCCTAGCTCCCACAGACAGACGTTACTGACTAAGCCGACTCCTGGGGGTGGGGCTAGAAGAGAGGATGGTTCTCAAATTGCAGCCCAGAAACCTGGACTTTTAAAAAGAGCTGGGAAGGAAACAAGAAGTGGAGTGAGAGAGCATTCACAGACTCACGCTGCTCAGGCAAGGGCCCCCAGCACCAAGGCCGCAGGCATCCAGACTCACCAGTGCAGGCAAAGAACCTGCATTTGGTACCCTGCGGCCAATCTGGGGACCTGGGCTTCCAGGTCAAGCTCTTCTCAAAGAGCCCTTTCCTTGGCCTCCTCTGAGGGTAGCTAGAAGTGGCGAGGACACTAAAAGTCCCTTTGTACCTGTTTGCAAGATTTGATTACGGAAACTCCCGGATTTTCCCCAGCTGGCTGTCAGGCATAGCCATTGCCAAATCGAAGTTACATTAATGAACAACCAACTGATCCTACTGAGAACAGAGGTCAACACACTCAGAGTATCGTTTCCTAATCACAAGGCCGCGTTGTTTGCTGTCTATATGCTCTCGGTGTAGCTGAATAGGGGGACATCTGTATCGCAGACATTGGCAAAGATCAGAAATCAAGTTCCCCAGCCCCAGCCCTCGCCCCTGCAGAGCACTGTTCAAAGTTTACCAGCCGGTTGCTGTCTGTGTGGCCAAGCTAGATGGCTCCTCACTCTGAAGCCTCTGCTCACGGTGGAGTGCTGACCAGGGTTAGCCAATCACAGTCCACGGGGCTTATTTACCCCAAATCTAATTTTCCCTTCCCTCCCCTCCCCTCCTCTTCCCTTCTGTCCTCCCCTCCCCTCCTCTTCCCTTCTCCTCCAATTACTTCCCCCCCTCTGTCCTTCCCTTCCCTCGGCTCCCTTCCCCTCCCTTCCTTCTCTTTACCTCCCCTTCCCCTCCCCTTCCTTCTCCTCCCCTCCCCTTCCCTCTTCTCCCCTCCCCTCCCCTCCCCTTCAGCCTTCCCCTTCTCTTTACCTCCCCTTCTGTCTTCCCTCTTCTCCCCTCCCCTCCCCTCCCCTTCAGGTGTGTGTTCTCTCTTCTTGAGGCCAGGCCTCTCTGCAGTGCAGACGGACCTCACCTTGCCACCCCCAGCCTTGCGCCCCCGCCCTCCCCAGCACAGGCATTACAGGCCTGCACCACCACACCCCTCAAGCTGCTTCAAATGCAGCTCCCAGGAAATGCACACATGTTCAGATCATAAACCTTAGAGGGGACTGGTCTGTTGGAAATAGACCTTCAACTTAAATTTGGGGGCAGCTGCAGGCACCTGTCACCAAGCCTATGACTTGGAAGGAGAGATCCAGCTGCCCTCTGACCCCCACATAAGTACACACGTATGCACACACAAACACAATAAAAGTTACAGAGGTGCCATCACCCCTGCCTGGACGACTACAGAATGTCCTTCCTCCCTCCTAACCCTCTCTCTGGCCCCTGCAGTGTTGCGTCTAGCACGGGGGCCACAGGGGCCCTCCCAGCGTTGGTAGGACCATGCCATTTCTCTGTTCATGGGTCTATGACTAATTTGACTCTCACACTACTCTGCCCTTCCTCCCGCCTCAGGGTCTTTGCACTGGCTCTTCTCTCTGTCTGACCTACTTTCCCCCCACAGGGGCCCACGTGGCGCATTCCTTCACTAACTTCAGCAAGACCCCTTGTTCAGTCAGGCTTTCTCAGACCACTCCAGAAAACACTACAGCGGCACGTGTAGCTGAGGATGACCTTGAATTTCCCTGAAATTATTTTGCGTGTGGGTGTCTTTTATGATTGTGTGCCACGCCCATGCGTGGTGCCTGCAGAAGCCAGACTAGGGCTTTGGGTGCCCTGGAATGGGGGTTATAGACAGCTGTGAACCACCATATGAGTGCTGGGAATTGAACCCAGGTCCCTAGAAGAGCAGCCAGTGCTGCTGAGTCACCTCTCCAGACCCAGAACTTCCGCTCTTCTGCCGCCGCCCCCCGCCCGTCTCCTGAACGCTAGGATAACAGGCATGTGTCAGCGCACTTAGTTTTATGCAGTGTTGGATGTGTTAGATGCGCAGGGAAGCAAAGCCACACCCAGGCCTACCTCTCTTCGGTGATGAGTACATTTGCTTGCTTACTGTCTGCCTCTGCTTCTCCCAAGAAACCAAGTCCAACCTGAATACGGAGAGTTACGTTCACCTCACTGCGGTATCTCCTGCATCTCCGGTATCTCCGAGGGCCAAGCACTCGGCAAGCTCCCCAGGGATATTTGCTAATGACCAAATAAATACCATTTGCACAGGACCACTGTAACCTCTTGTATGAGATGCCCAGGACCAATGATGGCATGGAAGCAATACACGGCAACGGCCACTTCAAGCACCGTGACACTGCAACCCGCCAGCAGTCACTTCTTGCTTATAACACTATTAGTAGTGTGAGCTATTTACGGTGCATATGCCATATGCCAAATGCTAGGCTTAGAGTGTGGTGATATTTTGTTTACGATCTAACAAATAAAGCTTGCCTGAAGATCAGAGGGCAAAGCTAGCCACTAGCTAACCATAGAGGCCTGGAGGTCTGTACAGACAGACAGGAAGTGGTAAGGCAGGAGGAGACAGGAGCTTGGCCTCTTTTCAGTCTGAGGGTTTCACAGAGGTGAGAGCTCTGGCGGCTGCTGCTCTGCTTCTCTGATCTTCCAGCTTTCACCCCCTAGTATCTGACTCCGGGCTTTTATTATTAGGACCAATTAGAACTCGTGCTACATTAGAGTATGACAAGCGATGGGCCCTTTTACTCTTGCTGCAATTCTGTGAGGCAGGCACTATCATCCACCATTTGTGTAGCCGTGAACTAAGACACAGAAAGGTAAACTACCTTGCTGAAGGTCAGACAACTCAGAAGTGACAGGATGTGAATGGAAGCACTTGGTTCTAGAGCTGACCTCCAATGCCGCATTGGTTCTAGAGATGACCTTTCAATGCCACACTTGGTTCTAGAGCTAACCTCCAATGCCACACTTGGTTCTAGAGATGACCTTTCAATGCCGCACTGGTTCTAGAGCTAACCTCCAATGCCACACTTGGTTCTAGAGCTAACCTCCAATGCCGCATTGGTTCTAGAGCTAACCTCCAATGCTGCGTTGGTTCTAGAGCTAACCCCCAATGCTGTGTTAGTTCTAGAGCTAACCTCCAATGCTGTGTTGGTTCTAGAGCTAACCCCCATGCCACACTTGGTTCTAGAGCTGACCTCCAAATGCTATGCTTATTTCTAGAGCTAACCTCCAATGCCGCATTGGTTCTAGAGCTAACCTCCAATGCTGTGTTGGTTCTAGAGCTAACCTCCAATGCCACATTGATTCTAGAATTAAACTCCAAAGCCATGTTGGTTCTAGGGCTAGCCTCCAAATGCCATGATTGTTTCTAGAGCTAACCTCCAAATGCCACATTGGTTCTAGAGCTGACCTCCAATGCTGCGTTGGTTCTAGAGCTAGCCTACAACACTGCATTGGTTCTAGAGCTGACCTCCAAATGCCACGCTTGGTTCCAGAACTAACCTCCAATGCTGCATTAGTTCTAGAGCTGACCTCCAATGCCACTAGAAAATGTGTGGCTAAAGGCTAGAGAGACTGCTCAGCGGTTAAGAGCACTTGTTCTTGTAGAAGACCCAGGTTCAGTTCCCAGTACGTGATGGCTTATAACCACCTGTGATTACAGTCTCATTCCAAGAACCCATCACAGTCCCTGGCCCAGAGGATCCAATGACCGCTTTTGGCCTCTGCAGGCACTGTACACACATGGTGCTCATACATGCAAACAAAATCCTGTACACAGAAATAAAAATAATCTTTTTAAAAAAAAGGAGAAAGAAAATGTGTGGTTATATCCCCAAACAATAAAACAGCAGTTAGCATTACTGGTTTTCCTGACAGTGGCCATTCACATAAGCCAGCTGGCCGGGCAATGTTCTAGGTTGCTATGGTACCCCGAACACTAATGGACTCTCACTGGTCCCTGCTAAGACCCCCATGCCCACTTGTCTAATAGTGACTCGCATGCCGTCCTCCTGACATTAGGAAGACATGGAGTGAAACCTGAAAGGCCCTGTGGGCCAAGACACTGAGTATCGGATCTGGAATTCAACTCTGCCTCTGCACCTGGGACAGCCTTTACCCTCTTTGCTCCTCAACCACAGAACAGAAAAGCAAGTCCACTACACAAGCACTCAGCACTCCCACGATCCATGGGAGGCACTGTGGCGCAATGCCTGGCAAGCTGTAGGCGCTCACAAAATGACAGCTTCTACCACTGAACATTCCCACAGCACCTCAAAAACAATTAACCATCTTGCCACAGGAAAACTGCAAGGCGTGGATCATGAGAGCTCAGCTAGTCCATCTGACCACACTGATGACAGCGTGAAGAGCTACAGGCTGGGATGGCCCCTTCTTAGCTCTTGAGATGACTACCATCTGGCTAGAAGAACAGAGTAGGATAGCCCAGTGCTGCAGGACATGTCTATAGTCCCATAACCCAAGAAGCTGACGGAGAAGGACTGAGCGCTTGAGACCAGCCTGGGATACAAAACAGGACCTTGACCCAAAAAAACACAGCTGAGCTGGAGGGATGACTCAGCAGTTCCGGTGCCCGCTGCTCTTGCACAGGACCTGAATTCAATTCCCAGCATGTCCACGGCAGCTCACAACCATCCGTAACTCCAGCCCTCACCTGGCCTCCAAGAGTTCCAGGCACATATGCGGTATACAGATATGTATGGAGATAAAACACCCAACCACACACATTAAATAAATAAAATTAGAACAAAACAAATGAGCGGGATGCTAAGGGGGCAGACTGGAGAATTTGCTCAGCCGTTAGCAGGGTTTGCTGTTCTGGCAGAGGACCTAGATTCAGCTCCTAGCACCAACATGGCAGTTCACTGCAACTCTAGCTCCGTGGGCTGCAACTCCCTCTTCTGTTCTCCGCAGGCATGAGAATATACACACATGTTCACACGCACATACAAATAAAACAAATGAGGCTGGAGAGATGGCTCAGCGGTTAAGAGCACTGGCTGCCTTTCCAGAGGACCCAGGTTTGATTCCCCAGGTCCACATGGCAGCTCACAACCTGCAGTTCCAGGAGAGCCCATACCCTCTTCTTCCTCAATAAACATTAGAGAGATGGCTCAGCGGTTAAGAGCACTGGCTGCCTTTCCAGAGGTCCCAGGTTTGATTCCCCAGGTCCACATGGCAGCTTACAACCTGCAGTTCCAGGAGAGCCCATACCCTCTTCTTCCTCAATAAACACTGCACACACTTGGAATTCTTACATGCATGCATGCACAATATTCATACACACAGATTTCTTTTAAATCTTAAAAAAATAACCTATTATTTGAAAAGACTATAAGCTGGGGCTGTAGCTCAAAGGTTCGTTGTTGCCTAGCATGTATGATGCCCTAGGTTAAAAAACAAACAATGACACCAAAGAGTGAAAAGAGTAAGGCTGTAATTTGGTAGCCCTAAACCTCTGGCTTAATTCTAGATTATTTTCCCTGGCTGTAAAATGGGGATAAGCAATCTCATTTTAATGGTTGGCCAAAAGAAACCAGAATGGGAGCAAAACACACTTTTGTGAGGACATGGTGTAAGAGAGCTTCCTGACTTTACAACCCAGTACAGCTGCTCCGGGCAGCTCTGGAGGACTGGGCCACAGATGGCTGAAGCAGTCTTCCTAATTCTCCTTTCTGGTTTTATTTTATTTTGAAAAAAAATTCTTCGACCTCAGTGAAGTTCCTGCCTCTGCCCACCTCCTCCAAGTGCTGGGATTAAAAGTATACACCACTATGCTCCTCTTAAGCAGGAGCTTTTCTGTGATGTGTTCCCAAAATAAAGATTAGCCTCATCAACTCAGATTGGGCAAGCCGTGCATCACGGCAGAGACTACAGGGGCCCTGGTTTTCCAAGTGGTTACCTTTCAAGGACCACGATGGAAGGTGGACTAGCTACTGAATCAGCTGCGTGGAACTTTCAGTTCTTACTTCCGGCTAAGCATTCAAGGCTGGGAAAGCCGACTTTCAGAGGCCCCGGGCTTCTGAAAAAGAATTTGCTGGGTTGGTATGTAGGAAACGCTCTTGCGATAGCAGCTGCCAAAGTTAAAGCATTGGGAAATCACCGGCTCGCTCTCTGCGGCACGTTCCGGGAAGCCCAGGGACAAGGGCGCGCTGGGCCCCCAGGGCTGCCGGGGAAGGGGCCTGCCCGCCTCCTACTGGCCCGCCACCTAACTGCACCGCATCCCCAGGCCCCGGTGGGGTGGGGTGGGGAGGTGATGCCTTTATTCCGCGGAAGGAGGGGTGTGCGGGTGGAGGATCGGTGACTGCGTGCACCGTGGGAC